GAAGACAAAAACTGAGAGTAACACTTTGGGTTACTTTGCCTCTTTGAGGAAATGATGAAGAAATAACTGACCCATGAACCTAAGGCTCTAGAATTAGTCAAGGCAGTTCTAAAGAAAATTAGTAAAGGAGATAAAAAATGGCAGAAAATAAAATCCCCACACTTTGCCTCTCTATGAAAAATTTTGCTTGGCTTTATTTCATGAAAAAATTTGTTTGTGGACAAAAAATATATTTTCCCCAAGATGATGAGCACTAGCAGAAAGAAATCAGAAGAATAAATAAGGATGGGTGTAAAGGTCTGGCCTAACGAATTTGGGCAAACCTGTAGTATTTTAGAGCCAGAAAATAATGTTAGTGATAATCAGAAGTCGTTTTCCAACCTTATACTAGGACTTAAAGTAAGGTAAAGGTCTGGTCACTTCAAGTCAAGTCGTCTTAATTATGAGAGAGTAGCACAGAACTGCCCGTCCACATTTAACCCAAATTCAGAAATCAGGGACGACCCCAGCGAGGCTCAAGAACTCCTCCTCCTCCTCCTCCTCCTCCTCCTCCTCCTCCTCCTCCTTGCGGCCCTCGAGACCGCTCTGCAGTCCGGCCACTGCTCTCGGCGCACCCTGGGGCCTGTCCAGGCTCTTTTCTACATTCCATACTCAGGTCCTGTCCAGGCGGAGTTGGAAAAGAAGCTAAAACAGCTTTTAGAAATAGCGTTAAACATGGCAAGCAAAACTGCGTCAAAATATTACGGGTGAACACAAACAGAACATTTCCCCCAAATCTTTCCTAAATAAAAATAAAGCAGATGTAAGGCCAAACATGTAAGTGCTTGAACCACCAGCAGATGGCATAGGAGAGGCTGGGAAATTCTCTAACAAAAGAAGGGAACGACTCAACATGGATTCCCAGGCTCAGCCTGAGAACTGCTATAGATTTTTATTTTTTCCTTCCTTGAATCCTTCCTTCACGGAGAAACAGAAAATTGTTTTGCTTTATCAATATGCATACATTCTATGATTTTGGTTGAGACTCAACGACTAAAACAGTAAAGAATAAACTCCGCCCTCTACTTCTCTAAGGATTTCTAACAGGTTTTCACTAAAGAAAAAAATTTCAATGCAAACAGAAACCCTTCATATCATGAAAAGTAATGGGTTGATAAGATTGTGAACTTTGAAGAGAAAAGGTCTGCGGTTTCGCTGCAACGATGTTGTCACCTTAAGTGTACTTTCACTTGAGTTACGTTCACACCCACTTAGGGCGTCAGCCAGTACATCTGCAGAACGCACACGCTGCTAAGACAGAGTTGGGAAGAAGCAGAGTTCATGCAGCTCTACAGCAAAACAAATTTTTTCAAAAGAAGATTAAGGTATGCTTTCATGTGGTCACATTAATAAAAGGAAGAACATGTTAATCGGTGTATCTTATTAGGTACTACTAAACGTTCTAAATCTGAACGTCCACACTGATAGTTCCGAGGTGTAATGCCTGGTAATCTATGAATGACCCATCACCAGTGACCACCAGAAAGATCCCTAACTTCCTGAGCCTGTTGAAAATCGTTTACTCTCAAATGAAGTGGGGCAGGCCAACTTTATTTGATATACATTTATTTCACTGCACAGAATATTTCTTCTGTTCTCTACTTATCTGCTCTAATCCTCAGGTTTTCCTATCAATCAAAAAAGGCAGTTCCGTTCGGGAAATGTGTTACATTAAAATATCTTGTGTCACGTGACCACTTGGAATCTTTATTTTGTGGACCAGCTCTGGCCGACAGAAATTTCCTTGAAGGTGGCAATGCTCTCCACCTGTGTGGCACCTACATGGCGGCCACTGGCAGCGGACAACAAAGAATGAAACCCAGACCCGGGACCACACAGCCTGAGCAGCCAAGACACCTACGCTAACAGTGAGATACGCGGAACCACTGGCTGTCCGTGCCAACCAGCACTACTGTAGAGCTTCGATAAGCAGGGACGATGGGTACGTGTCTTCCTGCAGTTGGGCTCTTCGGAGCTACCAAGTCAAATGCCAAGCTAACATATCAACCCAGATAACAAACAGGAAGATCAGTGACAAAATCCCAGAACAGAATACGATGCAGTAGTAACATGTTAATATTACAGATTTTTCTTTTTTTACAATCACAATTGTTATGCTAGCTAAAGAACTCTAAATCGTCAGCAATTACTTCCTGTACTGCGAAGCCAGTCGAATCAATAAGGATATAAAAAGATGAACAAGATGGAGCCCCTGAGCTTACATTCTCTCTGGGGAAAATGCTGCATCGTGGTGCTGGGGTGGGCCATGCCAGGCTCTTACCTGTGCACAATACACAGGAGAAAACAAGAGGGCAGAAGAGAAATCCCAAAGAGGCTGCAAAGGCAGGGGCGCAGCACGCACACATAGGCTGGGAGCTCAGCAGTCTGCAACAGGAGGTGGGACCTCACGGCACATGGAGTGGAGGGCAGGGGCAGCGAGCAGATGGGCGGTGGGATGGGCCTGAGATGCTTCCATGGGTGGGACGGCAATCCCGGGGAAGGCGAGGGAGGAGGGTAGGCTGGCAGCGGCGGTGGGGACCAGGTGGGTGCAAAGGCCCAGCAGAGTTATGAGACTATGTTCGTTGGGGGTCAGAAGACCAGGTGGAATTTCGATGTTCTTTTTCTCTAGGATTTGTTTACTCACTGAGATAAGGACAGAAAGTAATTCGTAAGGGTAAACAAATTTGGTGTCTACTTTAAATCTTAGTTTTAGATATTTTAAGCTTTGAGTTTTCTCTAAAATAGCAACAAATTTTAGATGCCTAAATACTAAAAATTATTGCCAAAGAGGATAAAAAGTCCTATTAAGAGGAAAGAGTATATTTTTATTTAAATATTCACAGGAAAACTAATGAGTCTGGTCCCATCCCTGCTGGCCAAGGGCTCTGACCTTGGGAATCAAGGGACTCCTAGGTCTCCAGCTCCCTCAGCTCTAACCTGGAGGAAGGCGCGACCAGAGGATCCTGGAGATCTCCTGTGGGGATAAAACTTTCGGATTCCAGGGACGTACAGACAGAAAAGGAAAAGACAGAGGGAGGGAAAACACGAGACGCGATACACGGAGGGCCCTGGGACAGGGCTTTGGGAAAACGGCCTTACAGAGTTTGCTGTGCTCTCCTGGGGTGTGGTTTGGAAGGTGGCGTGGATGGGACGGGCGGGCACTCTCCGCCCAAAGGGACTGGGCCCAAGAGCGGGGACTCTGTCTCTTGTGATCCCTTATGATCGACAGCTCGTCATTTTTCTCCTTCCCATTCTTTTTGAGAACAAGATGTATGTTTACCCTTCGGATTCCTAATCATTCACTTTTAATGACGTCTCCACATATATTTTTGTAACCATTTCTATCAAAAAGCATAAAAAGGAGCATAACATTCACAATTTTCTTCCTCCAAAGAACATGCCAGCCAAAAGAGTATATCAAAACACTTTGGATTTGTGGAATTCTAATACCCATTTAGCAATGGAACACAAAGAAACTGGTCACACATATATTTCTGTCTACTCAGTTTCAAAAAGAAAAGCCGTCAAAAATTATTTCGGTGACCAGACTGTATTACTCCAAACAAGTAAGCACTAATTTACCCCAGGAAAGACACTGCATTGAACAAGAGATGTATTTTGAAATCTGCCCACTGCTCTCCTAAACTTCTGCCTTCCAGAGCAGCGATGGTACCTCCCTCCACTTCCAGACCTTCACATGGAAACGCAGTCACACTCCCCTACTGAGTGCCTCCTACCAATGTGCTCTCACAGTTTATTGATGGTAAATGTGTACAAAAAGCAAGTAAATGTGACACACTGCAGGTCTGGAAGACTGCGATGGGAGAAAACCCCAGCCCACTCGCTGTGCTCTCCCGCTGGGCCCCGCCCTCTGTTCTGGTCTCCCTGGCAGCCCCGGCACCCCCCCCCACCCCAGCACCGTCTGCAAGGGCAAGTCCCAGGACCCCCCGCCCCCACAGACCCACTTCTCCAGGAAGTCCCTGGAGGGACTCCAGGCGGTCCCTCGTGGCCGGCTCAGACCCACGCTGGCTCTCCCCCGACCCACTCAGCTGCTTTCCCTGGTCTCTGGCAATCCGTCCCCCACCAAGTGGTCAGAAGGGTCTCTGTTGCAAACCTAACCACTACTTGCCTTAAACTCTTTTAATAGCGTTGTATTTTCTACGGGATAAAATTCACATCTTTAACCTCTTCAACCTGAGATCTTTGGCACGCACACACGCAATTTAACTACTTTTGATTTTTTTTTCATGGTTGTTCTCCAACCTAAAAATAGCTCTTATTTTCCCTCTCCTCCCCCCTCTTGCCTAAATATAGCACCAGTCTTCAAATCTGCCCAGGGATCAGCCTCCTAGAATACCTCCCCCCAACCCCACAGCACTCCGCAAACCCTCTGCATATTTCTAGCATGGAGATCACCACACTGTAGGACGTTGTGTCTGTTTATAGGCCCGTGCCTACCAACTGACTGTGAGCAACTGGAGAGCAGGAGTTGGGACTTAATTTAGTTGTGACTGGAACACAAGGATTCAACAAATATTTGAAGCAGGGATGATGAGTGAATAGATGAAGGAAGCTCGAGTTATGAACCCAAAACAGCATCGGGTAACGTTCGGCAGTTGGAATTTCAATATCCCCAGACTGCGGGGAGAAGGGGTTTAGTAAAAGCCCTGTTCTATGGCTTGTTAAAAGTTAAAGGTAAATATCGCCACGTAAAACTCATGATTTCCTCCGTTTCTAATGTTCTCCGCAAGAAAGAAAGAAGGTAAAGGAAATACCACCACAGTCTAATCTTCATCAGAATAAAGGGGAAAGCTTAAATTCTGGAAGATTTTAGAACCTCTAGATTTAATTTAAACAAACAAACAAACAAACAAACAAACAAAAGCACGTCCTCCCTGCCGAGCCTCCCACTCCACCTGGGGAGCTGGCAGAGGCTAACCAAGCCACATCCGACTACACACCTTGAGTCCAAAGGCAGTATCCTCCGAGGGCAAGACTTCAACCTGAAATCATAAGGAAAAAAATAATTTAGGCACTATGGAAACCTCCTTTGAACCCTGGCTGGTGCGGCTCAGTGGGTTGAGTTGTCCCACAAAGCAAAAGGTCACCACTTCCATCCCCGGTGAGGGCACATGCCTGGGGTTGCAGGTTCGGTCCCTGGATGGGGCAACTATGAGAGGCAACTGATGGATTTCTCTCTTTTTCCTTGTTTCTCTTCCTCTTTTTCTCTCCTTTCCCCTCTCTCTAAAAATAAATAAAATCCTTAAAATTAAAAACAAACGAACCAAAAACCCTCCTCTGATGTCTAGCCTCAGACACCAGAGCACAGCATGGCCCAGAACTCAGAGTTCTGAGAAAGCAGGCACTTGGTTCATGTCAGGCGTCAAGAAACAGAGACGGCCGTGCCTGTCTCTGCAAGAGTTGGTGTAAATCCAGGTCACTACCCCAGGTCCCAGTTTCATAACCTGGAAAGCTTCTTTCAAAGGAATAATTTTGCCATTACATTGAAGGAGGGGGGTTAGATTCCCCTCAAAATGATCTAGGAAGTTAGGAGGATCGCCCTCCTCACTGAGATCACAGGGTGCTGCATACGATTCTTCATCTTTTATGGACAGTGACATGAAAGTCATGCTTCGTAAAGCAGTGTCATCGTGCCTGTGAGGGTGCCAGTATTTTCTCGTCCCCCTCGCACCGGCGCGGGCAGACCGCCGTCTCCGGAACGCGGCAGAGCAGGAGCTCTGGAAGCACGGCTCCGGACGGGCAGAGCCTAAGCCACACAGCTAAGTGGCGGCGAAGCTTCAAGACGGCCCGTCCGCCTGGTGCATTTTAACAGCTGCATGGCACAAGACGTACACTGATAATTACTTTTAAAAAACAATTATTCAGTCAGATGTATAAAGCTTTTAACTGACTACTACGAAGTACCTAAAAGATGAAAAAGAGTGAAGAAAGATGGCAACAGAACAAACAGGAATTAAAAATATATATATCTAGGAAAGACAGTGGGGGTGGGACAAAAGTGACCAGCTGGCTTCACTGTTAGTTTTAAACCTTTTTAAATTAGGCATTTGTAGTGCGAGTTTTAAGTAGGAGGCACACCGGCCTACCCAATGTATCTTGCTGTAACAAAACTGGATTCTCCCCTTGGGGGAAAGAAACACAGAAAGGAAGATCATTTCAGTAGCACTGGCAGCCAGGATGAAATTAAAGAGGTCAAAAAAGAAACCAACTGTATTCTCCAATCGCTTTACTAAAACTGAGGCTCCCCCAGCGCATGGAGCAGCAGAGATGCATGACCAGGTACTAGGAAGACAAGCAGCCTCATTTTCATGAAAACCATATGTTGCTGATACCAAATGTGATTCTAGGCTAAACACTGAACTGTTGGATCAACTGTAGCACAGAATCGTTATAAGATTCACTGGTTACACTTCAATTTCCAAAGCTAATTGTTAGATTTAGAAACAAGATCTTATTATAGACTTTTAGTTTAAGAAAAAGGAAGTTATTTGCAATCTACATATGTTTGAAAATTCTAAGTTTTTCCTTTCACAACACTAGGTTACTAACCTCAAGTACCTTTACATAAAACCTCTAATCAGCATTGAAGACTTTAAAGGGAAAACACAAACAACAAATTTGCTGAATCTCAACTACTGTAAAGACTGTAACTTTGCTCTTATATTTTACATGGTGGGGCAAAAGAGGGTTTACAGCTGTAAGTATGTGAACACAGAGTTCATTCTCGTGTTACAATCGTCACAGCCTGCCTTTTTCCATCTGAACAACTGTGAACCCACGCTACCCACCCGTCCGTGCAGATCACAACTGCGTGCATCAGTGTGAGGTCCGTTCAGCCTCGATGTATTTTAATATACATGCAATCACATCGTTAAAACATGTAAGAGGAATTTAAATCAGCAAAATCATTCCAAGTGAATTCTACATTTGCTTAACATATTATAAAAAGGCAAAGTGGCACGTAAATTCAATAGCAAATAAAAATCTATTGAAAGATGCGGCTTTAATATATTTGACAACTTGAGTTGATAGCGAACCCGGGCATCCTGGTGAAATTTCAGGAACTCTCTCCATTTGGCTAGGGGAGTAGCTAGAGACGAACACAGATCTTGGGGCTTGAGGATGGAGGTGAGTCTCGAAAAGGCAACCTCATCCTGCACCCCAGAGTCTCTCTCCAGAAGGGCTTACAGGGGTGTTTTGAAGTTCCTAAGTATTAGGTAATTTAGTTAAAGCAACTTCTAAAAACTATGTTTTGTTCAAAAGCACAATGGTTTAAATACACATGCACTTCAGTATTTTTTGTATTTTGTTTTTGTAAAATTTTAATTTCAACATCCACAAAAAACAGCTGATTTAAAAACTTGCAATTAACCTCAATTTAATAAAAAAGGTTTTTGTGTTGGATCCAAGAGCATTTTTACCTAAGTTGGAAGGAACCCCCCCTAGTGGGAGGAAGGGAGTATTTCAGTCATCCCATATAATTTGCAGGTAGCAGTAATTAAACTTATCGATGGAAATCTGGTAAGCATTTTTGTTTCTTTTGTCATAAATTTCAATGTTTAAAAAAACTATCTTATATTTCACAAGCCAAAAACACCTGTAGTTCCTATATATAAACTAGAACTACATTTGTGTTTATCTGATGGAATTTTAGTTATTAGTCAACCATCATCATCAGATTTAATTTGGTGATAAAGCAGTCACAATTTTAAGTTAAAAAGAGAATCAGGTTTAACTGGAACAAAATCAGCACATTCCCAATGGGGTGACTCTCACTGTGGGGCCCCGGGGCAGAGGGCCGGGAGCCCGCGCTCACCTGAGTCATTAGCAAACACTCCCTCGAGGGGCAGGCAATACATGCGCTGCACGCAGGTGAAGTACATCCAAACATTCCTTAAAAGAATACATTCAAATTTAGAAATAACCAAGGAAATTATTAATGGTACTGTTTTTAACCTTCAGTTTGGGGGGACTTAGAACTGGCAGCATTATAAAAACCATTAAGAAAGAAGGTCACAGGTTTTATCAGATGTAAAATTAGGACACAATAGCCAGGCTGTCCTTGTCACAGATGTTGTAACAGATGCAAAGATAACTCTGAAAGATGGGGCGCAACCTGACATCACTGGAGAGAGAGCACGTATCCAGGCTTTCCGAGGTGTAAGGTGTGCAGGTTAAACAAAGCAGAAACGTGTTAGGTCCAAGATAAGGTCCTTCCCATCAAATCACGCCTATTTCAGATGATGACACAATCACTACTTGAGAACACAGGTGCCTAAAAAAGGTTCACCTGTAGAGAAGGCTCGGTTCTCACGGCTCAGGGGCAGCCAAGCCATCTACAGCTTTCATTCCCCTCCAGCACAAAAACCTCTACATGGCTGCGCCCCCCGCTCTCAATTACGCCAATAAGCCCTGCTTTGGCCAAAAGTAAAGCAAACCAGTTTGATTTCCAATCATTTCATTAAGAAAATCGAGAAAATGTGGATTCATGAATTCGAAAGTAAAACTGGTTATACTTTACTTTCTTGAGTCACTTTCAAAGTCCTTTTCACCTTCACTTTTAAAGTAGAGAAAACTAATATTAAGCAGCATTTTCTTTAAAGAAAACAATGTTGCCCTGGCTGGTGCAACTCAGTGGAGAGAGTGCTGTGAACCAAAGGCCTGCCGGTCAGGGCACATGCCTGGGATGTGGGCCAGGTCCCCGGTAGGGGGCAGTCGAGAGGCAACCGGACACCGATGTTTCTCTCCCTCTCTTTCTCCCTTCCTTGCCCTCTCTAAATATAAATAAATAAAATCTTTAGGAAAATAAAACAATGCTAAAACTATATCCCATTTTGATTTAAAAAAATTTCAAAAATCAGGACCACACTGTCACAAAGAAAATAAAGTGACAAATAATGATGCTTTATAATCATATATAAAGAATCTCACTCATATTTAAAGGAATGCAAAGCAAAACTCCCAATATTATTCTATGTTTCTCACAACAGCTTACTGAAGATGAACAATTTTGATAATGTTGAAAAGTTGTGGGAAATCACTGAAATAACCTCACACTGATGATAAGAACGTGTATTAGAATAAAGCACAATTTGGCAAAACCCATCAAAATGCCCGTGATTAAGTGTTAGCCCAACAATTCCACTGATACTCGAGTGCAGAAACAACACTTACAAAGCTATTTATGAAAGTTGTTTATAACAGTAAAAAGCTGAAAGCCACCACCAATCAAATGTCCATCAAAAGGAAGTGTTTAATAAACAATCCTACAGCCAAGCAACAGAATTTCAGGCTGCTGTTAAAAGAGACTGCATTATGATAAATGTAAGAATCATTAACAGTGTGCATAGTAAGCCAACATCTGTATTTAAAATAAAAGTGAGAGTTGGGTATATGGGGGCACCCAAAAAACCCTGAAGTTATCTTCTGCAGAGCAGGTCCCCCGTACTACAGGCTTTCTCCACTTAGGTGAGTGTTCTGGGATCCCATCTGGATCAATGTACCAGCTGGTGTTGTTGTGAGAAGCGGTGTTCAGCTCCAGTGAATTTTTGTTTAAGGCTCAATGCATTTGCCCATTCCACCATGGGTGACTTATGAGTGCCCCTGCCACGCTGCACTGAGTGTTCAACAGTATTTGACAAAAAAACTGGCATTATCCCCGAGCCCCACCCTCTCTATTCACTTGATCTCGTCCCGGAGCTACTTTTTTTGTTCCTCTGGATGAAAAAAGTCCTCAAAAGGAAACGTTTTGCAGATGTGGAAGGAGTAAAACAAAAAATGGCAGAAGCACTAAAAGGCATCAAAAGCGACAATTTCAAAAACTGTTTTGAGCAGTGGAAAGAATGTCTTGATAGGTGTACTGCATCAAATGGAGAGAATCTGGAAGGTGATTGAAGTTTCAACGTATAAGAATAAATTTTTTATAAATAAATTCCAGGGTTTTTTTGGGGGCCCCCTCATTTGATTTTAAACCATTTCTGAA